AATTCTCTCTCTCCCTTCTTTGTCTCTTGGGTGAATTATTTTCTCCCCCCACCTCTTAACTTCTTGGCTGAAGAGTCAGTTTACCTACAAATTGTTTGTGCATGCTGAACCGCATGTCGTGATCTTAGATCATTTGTGTTTCATCAATAAGTTAAGTAGGTTTATTAGGAGAGGATGTTTTAGTATCCCGAAGAACACAGATCATCCACTTTATATTGTTTTGATTTAACACAGACACTGTTTTAATAGCGAGCCAATCTGTTTATCCCTCTAAGAATTTCTATGATGTTTCGCTATGTAATTTATCCCTGGTGTGATCAATTTATGGAACAATCTTAATGGACTGTCTGCTCGGCACAGGCCCACGCTGAAGGTGCTCCTTTTGTGTGACTCATATTTGCATTGGCCTGCGTTTTACTGCTTACAATGTTTCTGTGCCAATCTTCCCACAGTTGAGACAGTAACTTACTACTATTATTGCTATTACTAATGCTGCTACAACAACAGCACTTAACATTAAAACAGCAAGCATGAGGAGCCCTTTGAAACCCATTAAGCCAGTACTGGACACCAAATAATTGATACAATAACATTTGGCACTGGGATTAAATAAAAAACAGAACTGGGCCTACATGACATTTGCCTAATTACTGACAAACTTTATAAGGAATAGTTTGGGTTTTTTGTTTTTTAAGGCAGAAAATGTGTTTTTAAAAAAGCAGACCCATCTCTCTAAATATATCACTTTGGTTCCTGAATCGAAACTAGCGTTGGCACATAAGCTGCGAGGAAGTCACGAGTGAGATGGCAGGGCTGTGCAGCGACAGCAGCAGATCTGGGTGTGCCCCTGAACGTGCCCCTCTCTCCATATGAGATCATATGTTTCAGATCTGTGTTTATGTGTTTGTGGTTCTGGGCGTGTGCCCTGTTTTTTTCTGAATGTCATGTTTCTCAAGTTGTTTTGGTTATGAGGAGCACCTCAAACCTCAAAACTGGGAGGGGAAGGCACACCTCAACTGGCACCTAAACAGGCACCTCTTCATATCGACTATGGTTTCTCAGATTTACCCCCCCCACACACACACACACGCACACCCAAAAACAAAGAGAAAAAAAGGAAGAAGAACAAACCACATACGGTCAGTGTAACTACATGCCTACTTCATTCAAACAACAGATAGGGAACAGCTAGTCTAAACAAAGCAAGTACAACACTAAAAACAAAATTAAATCAGAACTAACCTATACGTGTAATATTTACTCTGGAACTTCATCTAAAGTCGTGACTTTCAGGCCTGTTGGCCATGCATCACGGCACAATCTCCTAAATAAGATAGAATAGAATAAAAATATCCTTTATTGTTCTTCATCGGGGAACTTCATGAATCTCATAAAGCTCATAAATCTCATGGTCTGAACCGGAACTACCAAACATTGCAGCATGTGGATTTTTCTGTTTGTCTCCAAAGCTACCTGCACATCCACGGCCGTCCGCCTATTCTGTTTGTAAACCTCAGCAACTGGCCTGATGCGGAGATAGATCTTATCCTCAAACACACTGACCCCAATATGTCTGCGGGATAAAGTCAAGCCATCCTAATGAGAAAAAAAAAACCTTTCGGCTTTACTCTCGTTATTCCTGTGAGCTTTCGATCTTTACGAACACATGTGGGCTACAGTAGCCCACCAAACTGTTCCTCCAGACATTTCTGATGCCGGTACAAAATCAGGGTGAATGAATGGATAAGTGGCGAGAGGCACTGTTGCCTTTTTGCAGAAACCTTATGTTCAGGAAGCACAGATCTAAGCCACACTGCAAAGAAGAAAAAAAACTTTGGCTGATCTTTATCTTGTTTATATTTGATTTATGTGCTGCTTATGAGGCTACTAAGGCTGATAGAAATCCCTTGAATGTTTATGAAGCACTACTAAATCAGCAGTTGTGTAATATAAAACAAGAAAGTAAATATAGCCATAGGATGCTTAAAAAAAATCACCAATTCTAATATGAGCTTTTCAAGTATGTGTGCAGCCATCAGGCCGACTTAGACCATGCATCTGTGTCAGAATGTGTAGTCAAGTGCATGAAGAGTATTGTGTGTGGCGGTGCACGGAGCATGCTGTGGCCCTTATTAAATTATGACAGTGAGCTTGGGGGCGGCATTTGAGCACTGTGCAGTTGCAGTAAGTGTGTGGGCACCCGTGTCTGCGTGCATGGATGAGTGTGTGTAGGCAGTAGCAGTGAGAAGGTCAGAGGTTACTAGTGTTTGTGTTTCAGTGTCAGTGAAGTGTGCTCCAGGCTGAGATTTATGATCATTGTGTCTGGGAGGCTGCAGAGTGGGGGGATAATGAAGACAGATCAGGGTGCTATCTCTCTCTCTGGGCACCACTGGAAACATGGCCTATGGCCCTTGCCATTCTCGTATCATTAACTTCAGCCCGTGACATCATAACACACTGCCCCTGACATCAATCCTAACACAGTGTGCTCTCACAAGAAGTCAAACACAGAGAGGCAATTCCTCACAGGAAGTCATCCGGCAAACACAGGCATTGTTGAGCGCATAGCTTTGCAGTTTCTCCGGGTGTGTTTATGAAGATATGAAATATTCATGGAAACATCATACTCGGGCGTGTGTTTCCACTTTAGATTCCACGTATTTGCATTTGCGGAGCAGAGGAGTAGAGGCCTGGGGCTCGCCAGCAGAGGAAAGGGAGTAAGGGCAGAAAGGAAAGAGGAAAGGGGGTATGATGCAGGGTGCAAGAGAGGGAGGAAGTGAGGTTAGAGGGGTTAAAGTGAGATATGGGGGGGTAGTACAGGGAATGTGAGAGAAAGAGGTGTGGAATAAAAAGAAAAATGGAGGGCCGGTTTGAGACACAGATGGATGTGGTGGAGTGGGGTAGGTTGAGGGGAGCATTGGCGGTGGGGAGGTGAGAAGGGGGGCAGGGAGTCGGTGTCAGTGGCGGCAGGTTTCAATCAGTAACAAGATGCCTATAATGAGATCACTATTTCCCCACATTCAGATTGATGTCATGAGAAGTTTGGTGCCGCGCTGAGACGGGCAAGGGACGCAGGGGCAACGGCACACAGCAGCTCATTTGCACAAACACATTTCTGCACACACAAATGTACGCACGCCTGCTCTTTCTTGGTTAGAGTCTTATACACACATCCTGTGAAATGAAGGAGCTCATTCATCCCACCTGGCAAAGTGCGCTCATTTAGAGTCCAGCAGCCTTGAAGTAAAAACATACACAGAGGAATACTACTCACAGGAAAATGAGTTACTCATGAGCAAAGGAGAAATGTATGTGCGAGGGACCGGAGGGCATATACCAGTATGAACTCCTCTAACACAAACAAATGAACAAAAAGCTTTGAGCAGAGACAAGAGGGAGCCAAAAAACTGTTTTACTACTGTAGAAGAAATAAGAGGGGGGGGGGGGGGGGGGGGGGGGGGGGGGGGGTAAAAGTGTGTGTGTGTCGGCACTTTTTGCGCATAACTTTGGGTGCATCCAGAGTTTGTCGACACAGCTACCAGCGTGTGTGCCAGCACATGAGCGCTCTGCCTGATCCCCAACATGTGTGTCCAATGAAAGGTGAACGGTTCTCCTGTCTATACTTTGCTCAAAAAAAAGAAAAATACAAAATCAGCCATGATGTCACCATGAACCCATCTTGAACCCACCTCTGTCAAAAAGCATTACTCCAGCCCTCCCTCTCCCTGCCTCATTTTCTGTTCCACCTCTCCCTCCTTCACACTCCTGCCTCTCAAATTCTTCACTGAGCTCCTTTTCTTTTTCATATTTCCGTATTTTTCAACATTTCCCCTCTCTGGTCCATGTCTCTTCTTTTTTTCTCTCTCCCCCTCCCTTCTCTTCTCATACTAAAGAACACAAGCTCTTTTTATTCTGGCAAGCATCATCTAATTGAATCACCAAAATGCACAACTGTTTGCCAAAAATGCCAGGATGTTCTGATTATCATAAACTTTGTTTAAGCTGTGGTTTTTCAGGGAGAAAAAAGAAAATGCTCCGAGTGCACGAAGAAAAGCCAAGAATAAAATAAAAAAATAAAAGCAGGAAAAAAAGAGCGATTGGGGAGAATGCAAATGAAAGAGGGGAGAGGGAAAGAGAGAGCAGTGGGGAAGAGAAGGGTGGTGGGGGCAGCCAGAAGGCAGCCAGAGAGCCACATATGGAAGTGATTCTGTAATTACTGCAAATCTGTGAGCTCAAAAGGAAAGGTCTTCTTTTCCATGCCTCCTTCCCTGCATATAAAACTGCCCTTGTGAGAAACGTGGGCACTAAATACTGCACAGGGAGAGTGCACAAAAAAGTACAAGTTTTCCTTTTCTTGAGCACTTAGGCATATGTTTAGTATGCTGAAGTCAGACAAAGGTTTAGTTTTGTGTATTTCTGTACAGAAGGGGGAAACAGAACAAAACTAATCATGAGGCTAATTCTGCTACTGGGAAATTTCTGAGCTCAATCAACCATCCTGGACGTCAATCTAAGACTACTTTGGTGGTTCATTCTGGAATAAACTTCTCATCTACCGCACACCCGGCGTCATTCACATAACACGCAACAAGACGTGTGTGTGTGTGTGTGTGTGTGTGTGTGTGTGTGTGTGTGTGTGTGTGTGTGTGTGAGGCAGGGAGGGAGTGGGCGGTGGGGAGCCGGGTGACAGACGAGGTACGCACAGGCAGAAAGACTGTAAGAAAGTGATGAAGACTGTGTTTGAAGCCCCGGGCAGAGCGGTGCTCTCTGCAGGTGTGTATGTTGGCAGAGACTTCTCTCTCTCGCTCAGTCCCCGAACAGTTTCAGCAGCCTGTAATTACCCGTGCCCTGCCGTAACGTGTTCTAATGATGAGTGCGTGAGTCTTCGCATACATACAGTAAACACACGCCCGGGTTGACGCCGTTTGAGCTCCGTTTACTCTTAGACACATGCAGTTAATCACGGCGGTAGATGATTTATGTAAAGTACACAGTCTTACCTTCTTCTTCTTCTTCTTGGCCTTGAGAAGTTTATGCTTCGGCTTCCAACGCGAGCTTATTTATTCCACAGAAACTAAGAAGACAGAGGTTTTCTGTGAAGGAGACAAAGCAAAGTCAGTTGCAGTCTTTAAAGGTGTCCTCTTTGGTGTTTGCTCTGCTTCAGGGATCTTTCAGTCATTTGTCAGATTACGATCCTTTGCCAGTCGGTCACTGTCGCGGCAGCAGCTTCAGGGGCGTCGATGGGAACCACCGTGCGGACAGATTTATGACACTACTACGCCACCTAGTGTGCGAGGGGAGGAGTGCAGCAACACTTCCGCTCAGTACAATGGAAACCACCACAAAGGTGAGCAACAAAAAAGTACACGTGTCAAAATAAAATAAAGAACACTTCAATGTGAACTTACAGAAGCTAATAAATACTAAACCTTTCCTCGTTGCCTAAAATGATATCTAATTTGAAGGAATGCAAACTTGCTATTAGCCTACTACTACAATACTACTACTACTATTACATTCGTGCAATGTTATAATAAACATAATAGGCTATTTAATACAGTTTTCCGACGTTAACATTCTCCTTATTGGGCTAATAGAGTCATTCAGTCGAATAGGGCCATTAAAACAATTAACTCAGTAGATTGGCTGCTGAGAAAGACTAAAGGGTTTTTTTAGGTTAGCAAAATAGTCAAATAATTTTCATTACATGTTAAAGCAAGACACTTCTTCCTATAATAAAATCCATGATAAATCCGTTTATTGTTGTTGTTGTTGTTGTTGTTGTTGTTGTTGTTGTTGTTAAGAATAAATTAGAAATAAAGTAAATGTTTGTTTGACTTGATGGCTCGTTTGTTTTTATTAAAATTAGCCTATGTCTAGGGTTACTTTAGATATTTAAGCAAATAATAAAAACGTGTTTGCGGCATTTTTTAAAGTAGAACGGCTGGTTTTCTACACAGTGGAATCACCGGGAGTCACGTGCATTTGTGCTTGTGATCTGAAACACTTGTTAAGCGTTAATACTTTGAATTGCCACCGAGGGGCGCTTTCCACAAGTTACCTCCATACGCGCCTGCTTGTTCAAAGCTAATGTTCAACGACTGCACTATCGACAATTTGTTGTCCCCAACCAATTTAGAAACTTATTTTAACTATTAATAATAACAATAATAAGGCATTGATGCAATAATTCACCCTCACACGCAAGCCACGGGCAAAAAAAACAAAACGCACAGGATCCACATTTTGCTGAAATTCCAATTTTGACAAATGCTTTGTGTTCGCACGTGGTCTCCTCAATGAGCATGTTGTTCATAAGTCCACTCGCGCGTCTACATTTTCCCCTGGCACATGCGCGTTGGACTTGGCATTTGCATGATGTTTGGCATGTCTCGGTGTTTACCATCCGTTTGCTTGTCAGAGCAGTCACGGTGAGCCACGCCTCTTGTCCATGTGCTCCATCCTCCAATCTCTCCATCCCTCCTCACCACACGCTCTGTATTTTGCATAAAATGTGTATCAGTAGGGCAGCGCTCTCTCCGGCACATGCACCGCGCACATGTAGCGTGGCTTTACTGAACACACACCACACTCGAATAAGCGCATCAAACTCCCCTCAGCCCCGGATCCCCGCCAATGAAAACGCACAAGAGCGTGAAGGAGAGAGAGGGAGAGACGGGACTCCGCTACATACAAAGAGCGAGCCAAATCCTACACAAACAGCCACAACACAAGTTGGGGAGAACGGAAAAGGCGGTCACATTTCCTACTCACCTGCAACGTGATTGATGTGGGTGTTTGTATCAGTGGGTGTGCAGCTTGTGTCAAGTCCGACAGTGTGTTCAAGGATATGCTGACTCCGCTTTCCTGGAATTCGTGAGAATAGTTTAATCTTCGGTCGTGCAACATCACGCGCGCTAGAGCTAGAGGTGCAGTACTCAGAGAGCAGAAGGTATCCAGGTATCATTGGTGGAGACCAGTGTGACTAATTCAGATCTAACAGAAAAGAGGTGCCATCTACTGAATCACCTACAGATTACAGAAGAAGAAAAAACAACAACTTCGCCAGCACTGGACTCTTTCCAATCAGTGCTTCCTATTTTTGCGCTCTATGGAGCAGGTGTTTTGCGCAAAACTCTTTTTTGACTTTCTCGTCTGCCTTTAAAAGACTTTTGCTCCAGTCTAGTGACGTGACATTCACGGAGGTCTGCTATCAAGTTTATCCAGAGGTTTAATCATCCACAAGAGAGAAATGGATAACAGCCCCGGCGGTGGTAAGATTCTATTTTATGTTTAGCGTGCTGCAAATGTCTAGCAATGGTGATTATGACAAAAGTTAGAACTGAACGACTGATGGATATTCATTCATGTTGGTACCAGCGATCAATAAACGATAGCAATTCAGCTCGATTTGATCATAATGTGTTATCAAGTGTAAAACAGAGCTGATTTTGATTGAAATGAAGCAGAGCTTAAATGAATACATCACAGAAATGCGATATCCCACTGATTTAATAATTGTGCAAACCACTGATTTATTTATTCATTCATTCATTTTTACTTGTGGCGATTTTTTTATCATTACATGCAGCAACGAGTGGATGAACTATAATTTTGAGGGTTTTGTATTTTACTCATTTCTGAGCTGAGTGGTTTTAATTAAGACTGTGAATTTAAAGGTCAAACAAAACCCGATTTTAAAGTAAAACTTCATGCAAAGCTACCAGGACGTTGCTGTGCTGCATTCAAATGTCCGAGCGCAACAACGCCTGGGAAGGTGAGCCGCTCGGGACTGAAGGGAGGCTGGCCACTTCCTGTTTCTCCCCACGAAAACAAACTCACGTGGAGTTACAGTATGTTGGCCGGCACTGTAATCATAATCTGTCATGCCAGAATTTAAACTGCAGCCCTGTCATATCATGCAGAAAAACACTGTTTGGCGTAGGGGGCGTGCCTGTTTTCCTTTATCAAAGCCATTGCTGGAGTGCCTACAATATAAAGGCTGATAATGGAAGGACCTTTATCCGTTAAGTGGTATTAAGCAGCGTTTTCTCGAGATCAGTCAAGGGTGCACATGCTCTCTGCTTCCCTCTCCTAATTGACGGTGAATCATTTACAACAGCCACGGTCACGTTCTGGCACAGGTGATGGGCGCACCCTGTGCAATAGAACTGGAAACGAACCCACTAACCGTGTTATGACTTTGAGATTTCACTGATAAAGTGGGCCAGAGTAAATAGATGAATAATCATATATTAGCTGTAGTATTACTCAGCCGATAAAAACAAAGATTGGGGTGCTGAGTTTTGTTGTTTGTCTGTCCAAGACGCAGAAGCAGTGAAGCAGAAGGTTTTTCCAAAAGTTTTTATATCTTTATTTAACTGTTTATTTATATTTTTCTTATTTATTTGTTCAATTAATAAAATAAAATGTCTTTAATGACATCCCACTTTTTCCTCATTTCCTTAATACTTCAAATGGTGACCACATTGGCTTGACCTTTAATATTTCAATAATGTTATTGGGACCAAACATAATTAGATTTATGAGTTCAGTCATCTAAACAAAGCTATAAACATTATTATAACCACATGCCTCCAATTGCCAAGGCTGTTGAAGAATGAGTTACAGACTGAGTGAGTGAGTTGTTGCATGTGAAGGAGGCATTCACCCAAAGGTTAATGCAATAATTTATTCATACATAAAAGATCTTATAACTCAAATAATAGACCCAAATTCACGATATATAGCTTAGCAGGCTTGTTATGTAATACTAGTAAACATAATGTAGGGGAGTAGGCTACAGTCAGCTGGAACAGGTTACACAGGGCCAATTATTGGGGAAATATAAATCAGTAAAAACTAATATTTGGAGCATATAATAACATACAAATGGTTGGGAACGCATTGGAAAATATTTATCAGCATTAGTATTCACATCAGCTCTTTTTTTTTTTAAAGGCAGTTGGACCAGGGTGTGGAAGTCAGAAAACGTTTTATGACACCTGCAATGACAGCTCTGTAGCGCTATAATAGTACATAGCTACAATGTTTGCTCGCATTTAGCCGTCAAATGATAACCAGATGGTGTAAGCAAAATTGGAGAAAAAGAAGAAGTTCTATGCTCTTCACTGCTTAACTTCACGGACTTTAGTTTCCTCTCTAAACCGTCCTCTGGCACACCCCTGGTGGAGATCTGCAATATTTTCAGCATCATTAAAGTATTCAAACCATTTTTCGCCAAGTAAAAGAGTGCGTTGGTGCTAAGGCTGACTAAGTGGCACAAACATTCAGACAAAAAGCCCCGTTTTTGTCAACATTATGTCCTCAGTGCTTAAACATTTGCTAGATAGTAATCCAACCCCATTATTTTTGAAGTATGGGGCGAAAATAGGCCATATAAATAGGCTAGAAGACGTTTCAAACTCAGGAAAAAATGTGTATCCCAAAGTAAGACACCTGTGTCCTCAAAAATATGAGTAGCCCTATCACAATATAGGCCAATTTCTTGTCAGCAGCCTGTATCGCTGCACCACTCAGAATGGAAGATGCTGAGTGGTGCAGCTGACCTGAGTTACAAGTGAACCAGTCCTCTGGTTATAAATTAAGACTCATCCAAATAAAAGAAAACAATTACATTTAACATCCCAGGGCATGACTAATCACAAACAGATGGATTTTGAATTAAACGTGTTTCTATCTTCACGCGAATTTTCTCCGAGATACTTTGGTCTGGTCACACACTGACACACAGTTTTCGCCCTGCTGTTTTAAACCTAGTTGCACCGCCCGGCTGTGCTGCTGCTGCTGCTGGCGGTGGTGCGCGGTCAGACCACCCTGCCGCATAACATGCTGCTCTATTTAATTTGGCTCTTTAATTATAAGCCTCTGGCGGACTGTAGAAGCTCTGGCTCCCGGCTGGAGCGCACGCTTCACATCTTCCCGGTGAAAGCCCTGTCAAAAAGCCCTCCTCACGTGGCTTCCCTTGCAGAGCCGCGTGCGACGCGTGAGATATCCGGGCCCTCCTCCTGCCGCTACCCCGCTCTCACGGACGCTTCTGTGTTGACGATGCCGCCTGCGGTGGTGGTGAGGCAGAGCTTGGTCAGTGGGTCAGCAATTCCACACGTTAACTCTTTTCTCTCTGGTCACGTTTCCCCGCCTCATGCACCACTTGCTTCTACTGAACACCGCCCCCTCCTTTCATTTAAATCAGTGCGAGCTTGCAGTGTGGTACAAAGCTGAGTCGA